ACTCATCTGGAACTTTTCTTTGTTTCCCAAATRTCATCCGCGATGGAGCTACCCAGTTTCTGGGGGGCATGGATCTGTGTTGCGGGGCAGAAAGTTTGTCTGAATCTGTGGCTGTTTTAAGTTCATCTGCTTTGATTGTCCCAATATCTTTTAAGTCTCTAACCGGGCGGCTAASYGTTACCTGTGAGCTGCTTGCTGTAGCTGAGCTGGGCTCCCCACGGGGATGTTGTCGCGCCTGCGGTGAGGGCAGAGAAGCAAGCTTTGTCCGTGTCATCCACGGGAGGAAAAGGGCGGAGATTTCCAGGCTCAGGTGCCGTGTCTCTTACATCCAGAGGAGGAGCAGGTGGAGAAAGGATCGTATCTTCATTTCTGCTCCTTTTCGCAAACGTTTCAGTTAGGTTTAACTGTTTGAAAGCTCGCTTACTCATGTTTAGCTGTAGCTTCCGCACATTCGCATAGCTTATGGAAATGCACCAAACCCACCGCCAAAATAAACAAAAAAAACTGGCCAATTGCTTTTCGTTTAGGACGTATAGCCTACGTAGGCCCACCCCACAGACGCACACAGACGCATACTGATGCACAGAACTGATTGACTTAAAGTACCATTTCTTATTTTATTTTCTTCACAGTTTTGGTAATAATAAAGTTTTTTTTAAAAGCTCAAAGGAATATCTCAAGGTACGCACAGTGCGTACAGCCATACAGCTGCAGGCGCCACTGCTCATGTACAAACTGTATAAGAATTGTTTACAAGACCAAACTTCTTGGTAAAACTGAGTGAACTTAGGGGGTCAAAACTCATTTTCACAATGGGCCAAAATGAAAAACGTGATCAAGGGCAAAAAACATATCCTATGATTGCTTTTGTTGAAATATTCATACAGTAATATAAAGTTAACTACATATGTCTTATTCATCAGTTAGAAAACATTTAATTTACCGTGATTATTTTTAAATTTAAAATTAAAAAAACAACTTTTGTTTGTTTCTTCTTTTGTTTTCCTTTTTAAATCACATTGTTTGCTGATTACTGATGAAAATGTCTTATGGCTGCCTATCAAAACTGGTAAAAAAAAACTCAGAAAAACTTCACCTTAATATTAAGGAGGAAAACCAAAACGTACAATAACATGGATAAAATAAATTCAATCAAACACTGTAGCTTATTTGCTCAGACAGGTGTTTAAGGGTCTGTGTTGTGGAAACTATCAAGACTGATTAAGGAGGGGTGAAAGTCAGAAAAAAATCACTTATGAACACAGAAATCATTTCAGTGTGTGAGGACAGAGGGTGAGAGTGTTTGTTTCACCTCCACCTCAAAGTTTGATCAAACTTTTCCATCTGAACAGAATAAGATGTTCAAACTTGATTATCTCAGCTTCAAATTCAACAAATTCCTGCGTGAACCTGTCACTAGTTCTGTTTTGTTTTAAATAAATATACCATAGAGACTTCCTCTCAGCATGCAGCTGCACAATCTGCAGAGAGCAAGGAAAGCTGCTTCACAACACAGCTTGAGTGACATGCCTCATGGTCCCAGTCCCATATTTGAATATTAAGTGGTGAGCATTTTTGGTGCTAATTTCACCAGAGTCACGAGACAAGTTTATTTGAGGTTTGTGAGACAATTTTCAGCCTTGAGAAATTTTATGAACATTCTATCCAGCTTTAGCCAGACAAATATTAAAACCCTTTGCAACAAAGTCTAATTTTGTAGTTATTTATTTATTTTTTTACCATTTCCAGTTTGCGAGAGGGTGGCTTTTATCTCAGTCGCTGTGGCGTGGCTACCTGGCCCAGAGATCCTGGAATCTTCTGGGAGGCCCCACAAACCCCAGGATTACCCAACCAGTGCCCCTGGCCAAAAAACTGCCCGTACAGCTTTGGTAAGTGTTTACATAGTTTACAGGACTCATTCATCTTTTTTAGCTCATATTCTCAGATTTGTGTAAAAACCTAGGGAGCAGGCACAAAAACTCAGAGAGTCGACAATTCTACAGAAAAAAAAAACATTTATTAACAAAAGAAGGCTGATGTGGCAGCATAAAAATACTCATGAGGGACAACCAGAACTGACCATAGGAGGTACAATGGACTAATAGGGAACATGAGACAAGATAAAGATTATAAAAGGATGCTAACAAAGAGTAATGAGACACACCTAGGGAGAGACAAGGATCAGGGGCCTCACGTATAAACGGTGCGTACGCATAAAAAAGTTACGTGCGCCAGGTTCTACGCCCACATTGTGATGCATAAAAACGAACGTTGCTTATATTTACGCACACTTTTCACCTGCCGTGAGAATGTGCGGCAGCCACGCAAAGTTTTTCAGCCGACAGTTTTAACCCACAAAGTCACGAATCTGTCCTGAATCCACAGAAATATGACTTTGTTGTGTTTTCTGGATGTAAGGAGTGTCTGAACACGGTGTCAGATTTTTTTTTTTTTTAGTTTGAGTTTTTATTGTTTAAACTCCAACGATCATGAAACTGAACCCCGGGACTGAAAATCATTTAACCTCAGACAAGGAAATAGATCAGCCTAAAAATGATCAAAAGAACTTCAGTCCAGTCTGTAAACTGTTTTTATATATTTGTCACATAGTTGAAAACCTTTTGGGTCCCGGGCCAGAAAAACCCGACACATTACGTGCGGCATAAAATAAATAAATCAAATTTAAAAAAGGCTGAAGAGAGGGAGCAAAATCGGATGCAAATGGTGGCTCACTGTGTGGTAAGAATAATTATTTCTTCTGTGTGTAGGCTTCTGACTGATGCTGAGTGTTGAACTGTGGCTGTAGTGCAGCAGCTGCGCTTTGGGTAGATTCTCGTGCCAGGCGTGCACCCTCGCCAGCTGGGAAGGTGTTCATATAGTGTATGTCAACCCCTTTGGATGTTAACCTGTCTAATGAGCCTCAAAAATCTATATTTTTTGCTAAAAATCCGTAAGCTACCACTCGTACCCACACGTGGCGGTTGGGTGGGGGGGGGTCTGTCCGTGGAGATGACAGCACCTGCTGTAACGCAGGAGCAAAGGAGAGAGGAAAAAGTGGATAACGGGATGTTTTTTTTTTGTTTGTTTTTTGTTTTGTTTTGTTTTGTTTTGTTTTTTAACTTCCGTTCAACGCCATGTTCAACTAAATAGACAACAGCTAAGCAGGCTTCAACATCACATTTGGGAGATGTCTGTAAATTTCAGGAAAATCTCAGGCTTTGGTTATCCCGTGCGAATGCGCCACATAAAACAATGACACACCACTACTTTTTTAGACAGTTTTCTCACTCATTCTCCATTTAATTTATATTTTCCCTGCATCTAAATATCATTTCTGATCCCACAGAGAGGAATCAGAGGAGAATCTCACAGACTGGACACATTTACATCTATTTTGCATATTTAAATGG